TTAAAATATTATAGCTCAATTTTTTTTTGCTTTTACTATAATACTATATTAAAAGCGATTTTTTTTAATTCCGTAATTTTAAACCAATTTTTTTCAATTTTTGTGTAAAATTTGGATAATTCTATTCTACAAACGAAAAAATATTTTCGTGGGATTATATTTAAAAAATGACGAAGCTTTTAAAAGTTTTATTGAAAATGTAAGTATTTTTTGAAAAATCGTAAAAAGAGTTTTAGGCATTTTATTTTTTAAATAATTTATTCTAAAAGAGAAAAGCCTGAACTTTCTTAGTGCAGAATATCAATTCAATAACATGAAAAAAAAAATTTCATACGGAACGATTTAGAAATCATTTTCATGAAAACGCATCGATTTTGACTCATTTTAGAAAAAATTGTAAAAAATAGAAAATATCATTATTTTTTAAAAAAGTATTATACCATATCGTGGCGAAATAAATCATCTTTCCGATTACGTAATTATTTTTCGTCTCCGTTTGATAGAGAGAATAAGATGGTTTTTGAAAAAAGGTCGAAAAATCGGAACTTCTTTTAGCTCAACCCGATAAGCTGCTCGGCAGATTAAAAAGCTAACAGGGATAAAAGGTTTTCAATTAATATCTTTTTAACTAATTGTGATATTGGAATACAAAATCATCAAAACATGCATTGCCATCCTAACTAAACGTGTATACAAAATTTCAGCTCAATCGGTTGAAGACATCAGTTTCAAAATTAAGTTGTAAGATTCCACCCGAACATTTTACTTTGCAAGTTAAATAAAAGCTTGTAAAATATAACATACTTTGTACGTATACAGAGTGGAAGTATTGTAAAATATCCCGTTGTACAAATCAAACGAATTTTAAAAATATTTTACACGAAAAAAAAAAAAAAAAAAAACCATTGGAGGCGCGGGGTATCGATCCCCGTACCTCTCGCATGCTAAGCGAGCGCTCTACCATCTGAGCTACGCCCCCGGCCTTCATCTGTGTTATTGTAAACATGCTCGCCTTAACATCTGAAGAAGATCGTTACAGTAACGAGGTCAATTAAAAGTGTTACGAGAGAAACTAGAATCGAGTAAATAGATAACATAGAATGTTTCAAAGTAAATAGTAATAGCTTAGTAGATCTGCCTTTCTTAGTGCTCCCTCTAGAACACTCAAAATATAACATACTTTGTATGTATGCTGAGAGGAAGTATTGTAAAATATCCCGTTGTACAAATGAAAGGAATTTTAAAAATATTTTACACGAAAAAAAAAAAATCATTGGAGGCGCGGGGTATCGATCCCCGTACCTCTCGCATGCTAAGCGAGCGCTCTACCATCTGAGCTACGCCCCCGGCCGTCATCTGTGTTATTGTAAACATGCTCGCCTTAACACCTGGAGAAGATCGTTACAGTAACTAGGTCAATTAAAAGTGTTACGAGAGAAACTAGAATCGAGTAAATAGATATCATAGAATGTTTCAAAGTAAATAGAAATAGCTTGGTAGATCTGC